GTTGAGACATTTCACCTAAAACCACATGGCGATCAGCAGGTAGCATTAGATCCACTAGTTGTTGAGATAATTCAGTCTGGACCAACGTGGTGAACAGACCCGACTCTGCCATCCATAGAGCTACACCGCTAGCATGGCTCGTAAGACAATGGTGTGATCGATGGGTAGATCATGGGATGCAAACATGGACAAAAGAGCAAACTTGAGGCACTCACGTGTAGAGGAGCAGAGTAATGTGGAATTTTAATTTAAGTAAGGATATAATACCAAAGTCTGAACTCCTGAGCCATGTAACCAATAAAGGCAAAACTCCACATAGCTCTTGATCCTCTATGCATGAATGTGTATGACCTTTGCTCTTTGATCCATTTCACTACATGTAAAAAAGAAAAAAAGGCACAGAGATGATTTTATCTCATGAAACGCAGGGCTGAAATAACGAGTTCAGCAAGGAGGAATGGACAGACCTCAAGAGAACATACATAAATGTCTTACCGTCCAAGACTTAACATTTCCTAGAGTGGAGAAGAGAACAGAAGACAAGAAACATTCAGAAAAGTAATCCTAAATTCCCACTTGTAGGGGATAAAAGCATGGAAAGCATCAGGAAATCCTTTAAAGTCTCCACCACCCTCTGAGTCTAGGAGGGTGACTACTGGGTACACATCTCATCATGCACTTTCCTCACACTGTAGCTCCACTAAAAGGTTTAAAAAAAACCCAACAGCCAATAAATGAAAGTGAAAAAGGAAGGACACGAGTCTTACCTCTCAGAGCTAGCCCTGAGTTTCATTCAAATTTCATTCACTCGCCATTTCAGTGTCTATAAGAGAACACAGAAGAGAGAGAAACCAATGAGATCATCAAAATGATCAAACCATCTATCCCAGATTCCAATAAAAAAAAACAAATCAATATCTAATAAAGATCTTTATTTCAGATTTTAAATAGATTTACAAACCATAAGAAAAAAAGAAAACATAAACAAGAAAAAACAAAAAAAAAAAACAAAAAAAAAAACATCAAGTGATCGTCAAATATCCACATGTGCATATCAAGGTAGAGATTGTAAACAGTCCTTTGAAGCCAAAAAGTGAGACTCCCCAGGGTCAGGTTCACTCTGTTGGAAAAGGATGTTTGTTTGTTGGTTGGTAGTCGTTTTTTTATTTTTTTATTTATTTTCCTGAGGTTCTTCTGTAATTAATTGCTGGGTTTTTTTCCCCCTCAGTGATGCTGCCACCAATCAGAGCTCAGAGAACTGGGGGACGAGTGGGGAGGAGAAGACGATAACAAAACAACAACAGTAGTTTGACAAAAATGAAATCCCATTCACCCTAAAACATCCAAACAGAGGGGAGAGGATCATCAATAGGCTGTGTAATGGACATCGGGCAATTATCGATTATTGATGGCTCATTTCTGAGCATTCGGGGCTTGATAGAAGGCTGGAGTAATTACTGTGTGGAGTGTGTCAATTTGGTTCTGCAGAACTTTTCTGCCGTATGATATTTCGTGTACAATAAGTTGGCAAATTGATTCATTCTTGCATGAACAATCCTGGGTTTTTAACAATCAGGTCGATAATCGTAGCACTTAATACGTATAAGATAGAAAACATTGCAGCTCACACCACAATTTGGAAACGAAAGATTACATCAAAACAGTAAAAGAAGCCCTCCCCCCCCAAAAAATGGACAACCCTCAGCCCATTCACAATGCAACAGTTTTAGATAAAATTGAGTAGAGGACCTTTGTCCCTGGACACAATCCTGACCCCTTATAGCAGATCTAAAACCACAAACACATCATAACAGCATGCTAGTGAAGAACCACATTCTCCTGTTCATGCTCAAAGGTCAACCCTATCTCCCCATGCCTTCCCTAATTCTGCGCTTTTTCTCCACACTTCTCAGCACATCTTCTAAAGCGATCGGCGGATATTAACGGAAACATGGTTACAGCGGCGTTGAGAATCATCTGAAATACTGCTGGATGTTGGTGATGTGTCTTGAGTGTGCAACGGAGCACTCCTGGCAGTGAGGAGGAACCACAGGGCCTGTTGACAGTGCAGACTGAGGACAACCCCCCCCCCCCCCC